GCCCAGCCACGGAGCCCAGCCACAGAGTTCAGGGGGCGCGGCCAGTGAGTGTGGCCAGCTTTTTTCTTTTTAAGATAGAACCCCAACAGTAAACTGTTTGGGGAATGATGACACATCTTCCTCCCATATTCACTCTCACGCTTACGCAGTACAAGTGTAATGAAGAGGAACTACTGTAGGTGTCGCATTTTGTCCAAGAGTCTGCCTCTTCTTTTGCCAGGTGTTCATGTATTTTAACGTTTTTGTGGGGCTTGGGCTCTGAAATGGGCTCTTCACCTGAGAATACACTGGGCGGTGGGAAGGCTTGGCGGAACCGTAGCCTACATAGGCTACCGGTTTCGGAAGCAAAACGCCACCCGTGCCTGGCTTCGGCGTCTTGGACAAGTGTCCTTTGCTGAAGCTCCGGGAGAGTTCCGAGGAAAAAGTGAAGCTATTTGCGCATTTGTTAGCAGACCAGTCCCTGAGCAATGTGGAAGTAGCTCTAAGGGCTTGTGTGGGGCCTTCACGACCCTGGTTGAGAAACCAGGAGGAATGAGCAAGATTTTCAGGTTGCTCAGCTTGAGGCAGTGTTCTTTTTGTGAAGCAGGTTCCCATTAGTGAAGTGATTGTGCAAGGATCCTGGGCGCTACCTTCCATGTCAGTCAAAAGAGTCAAAACAAGTCAAATGTGACTTGTCACTGCAAGTGCTTTGACAACATCACACATATCTCTTGGGCCGCCATGGTAGCCAACTCACGTAAACTTTAAAAAAACTAAGAAAGACCCGAAAAACCTTGGGCACCTTGCCAATCCCGCCTTCAACCTCTTCTGCCAGTTGAAACCCCAGAAGCAGAAGCCCCTGATCTCTTGCAACAGATGGCGCAGAAGGTGCGGCCCAGCAGTGGCAGCGTAGGTCCGGTTTGTACCTGTGGTCCTGTGGTGAAGCCCCAATCCCTTCATTGGGTCGGCATGTTGTGTGTCGTGCCTGGAAGATCCTAGGGACATGAGTGATGAATTCTGGCCTACCATAGAACTATCGGAATACTTCCCAAGTCTTCCTAAGTCTTCCTAACATCTAAGGTGCAAAAATCTCAGCCTAGGGTCCCATTTCTTGCCAGGGTGCTTCTGGACATGTTTCTCAAACGAGACTGTTGGGATCAGGAATTCAGGTTTTCATCATGTTTCATCTACTTCTACCTCTCCCACGATCTTCCCTGTTTTCACTGATGGACAGCCCTTTCTTGATACCCACGCTGCAGGACAAAGAGCTTCTAGGCCTGAAGACAGAGGCCGTGGAGGGCTGACGAATGCGCGGAGAGAGGAATGAGCTGGGCAGCGTGCGACACAGGTGAGTGGATTTGCAGCAAATATTGTTATTACAGTATCTGGCGATCACTCATGGATTTAACACTACAGAAAAAAAACTACATTAGATGGTCCATGATGGTACACTGAAACACCTGCCCGGCATGGGCATTTTATTGTTGATTTTTTTTTCCAAACTGATGGTTTGAAGATGTCTTTTCACCGGGTTCAGGTCTGGCCGCCAGTGGTCTTCCTGGCTTTATATAGATTCTGGGCAGAAGCTACATTGTTGAGGGTGGGGTTCATAGAGTTTACTAGCAATGGATTCCAACCTACTAGCGATGGCCTCCAACCCAAATAAAAACCATAGAACAGCTTGCAGCAACCATACGTTATTACTATTTTACAGCACCCGTGGTGTTCTTCCTTTTCATCTCCTTGAACAGAAATACCCTAAAAACCTGCACCGACCCCACCTCGAGGAAACCAGGTTTTCGATCAGGCCAGATCAATGGGTCAATATGTGTCAAAGCGTGTTGAGACTTGGCTCATGGCCCCTTTTTGGGGTCCAGGTCAGTGAGGACCCTCCAGCTTTGGCGGAGACTGGAGTCGGGGCGCCTAGAGAGAATGGAGAGCAAGATCGAAGGTGGAGCAATCCAAGGTCTCCAGGTCTGGGACCTCCACATGGCCTCCTTTCCTAGTAGCGATGGCCTCCAACCTAAGAGCGAGGGCCTCCAACCTACTAGCGTTTGGCCTCCAACCTAATAGCACATTTCCCTTGAACGACCGATTTAGCACGAATCACTCGAATCATTGCTTGGCAACTTGAGAGTTCAATGGAGCCAGGAAAACGAAGCCATCAGCGCTGTGGTCGACGTGGTACCCCAGGACCTGTTTGCTTGGGGAGGAAACCCTCGGATGGCTCAGGGGTGGTTGGCTCGGCAGATGTGGAGGTTTGTCCCTCAGAGTTTACCAAGTTTAGCCTTCGGGGAAAGGACAGGTGGTGTATCTCGTCTGGATCTCTGGCAAATATCATGACGGAAGGAACGATCACGTTGCGAGTCCTCACAAGGAGTTTCTGGGCGCATCACTTTGCCAATCAGTTTGTTGCTGCACTTTGTTGGCACTCACAGCTGCGAATCACCCCTACAACACACGAACTGCTTGCAAAACCCATACACCTCTGGGTCGTCGGGGCACAAGGCTTTCACTGGTGTGCAAGGTTAAATCACATGCGCATTTCTGAGAAGGGAAAAACAGTTGCAGTGATTCAGAGACAAACATGATAGGGCTTAGCGCCTTTAACGGCGAGTGAAGTGATCCCCTCAGTAAGCAGTTTACACATTGACATGTTTACACATTACTCCTGGATTGGCCGTTGCGGTTTCGCTGCCCGGCCACTGGCTCGATCAGCGCCGCGCGAGCCGCGAGCCGCAAGCCGAGCACGGGTGAGCGATGCAGGACAGGAGTCCGACAGGAGGAAAGTGGCGGCAATGAATGCGAGTATGTGTAGTATGGTACAAAACCATGTGCTAAGATGTGCTGAGAATCATACTGGACCATAGCTGAGTTTCTGGCTCATCTCCGTGGTTTTGGAGAAGGACAGACCTGGTGAAAGGAGGAATCCCTATAAGGTTGGAGGCCATCGCCATCGCTATTAGGTTGGAGGCCATCACCAGTGGGTTGGAGGCCATTGCCATTGCTATTATATATAGGTTGGAGGCGATTGCTAGCAGGTTAGAGGCCATTGCTAGCAGGTTAGAGGCCATCGCCATTATGTTGGAGGCCATCGCTAAATGATAGAAACGAAAGTACTCACACTGTCAAGCAGAAAACCATGGGCAACCTGAAGAAAGCCTTGGTCCCTCCACGTCCAACCCCGCTGCTCACCCCTTCCACTGTTCAGGGCCCAGATTTGCAAACCTTGGCGGAGACCCTAGTGTAGCTTGGCGGCGATCAGCCTGGCGTCACAGCAGTGTGGTCATTCAGGCCCCTTGCCCCTTGCGACCTTTTAGTGTCTTTTCCTTCCACAAAGCTTCTGAATGAGTCAATAGAGTGGAACACTACTGTAGTAGTTCTACACATTGAGTTGGTAAAGTGCAGCTAATGGCCGGGGGTGGTGTGGCTTTAGGGATGAACATGGGTGACCAGGGGCAGGGGATGATCGCTTCTTTCGAGCTGGTTGCTCACCTCGGAAAGAAAGGCACTTTGGTGTGATTGAGGCTCGAAGCTACTACACAGCACTGTACAGCAACCGACCCGAATTTTATGGACACTGGACATCATTGTGTTGAGCCGAGACGACAAGCTTCCCTCCAATACATTGACATCTCGCTCAAACGACTCAGGTGCATTCATCTCACAGGAGCCGAGGAACAGGATCGCAAATGAGAAAGAACATCCAATTGGATCGCCTCCAAGAACCGCTGCAAAGTTCATCTCCATTTGGAGGCAATCCCCTCACCCCATTCAGACCTCACAGTCGCAGCCGCCTAGGTCTCTCGATGAGCAATCCGCTGTGAGCGTGATTTGCTCTGTCCTGGAGTCACGGCGGGGGGGCCTGCTGTCGCTGCCTTTGAGTCTTGATATGCATTGAGGATCCATGATGGTCCTTGAATGTAAATGAGGGATATCGCAAGGCTGGGAACCCCTTGTTGGTTGGGGTACAGGTGAAAGTCCTTCGTTTTTGCGACGCACCACATTGGTATGACAATATGGCCAGAAACCACCTAGGTATCCCCTCGGCTGTTTCGTTTTGTTGGTTCGGGGAACCTTCCCTAATCACCTTTCTCAGACATTTTCAGACTATCAATATATATATATGATTCCCCCATTGAATTGTATAGATTGGATGTTCGGATATGTCCGACACCCAAATGGCACACTCTCCCGATCTTCTCTCCGAGTCTCACCTGCTCAGGCCGGAGCTGGCGCCGTCCGTGGTGACCTTCTCGGTGCCGGATTTGACCTACCCGCCCATCCGGGTGCACGGGGTTCGAGTCAAGGGAGAATGGGTCCCAAGCGGCCTCCAAACTAAGAGCGATGGCCTCTAACTTTTTTTCAATTTTCATGTGGGTTCATGCATCTGTTCGATAGCACCCAGGAAAAACCTTCCAGTCAACAACACTCTTTACTGTCCCCACAACACAATTATAATCAATTATGTTTATATATGTATACTGTAACTTTGTGGGGAAGGGAAGGCGCTCAGAGTGAAGAAAGACATGCATTCTGCAGTACCAACGCCTTGTACAACCTCACTGACACCTGTTGCTGGTTTGTCTCACACTAGGTCACTACGTCAAAGAGGCATCGAAAGACTCGCCTCTCTATACCTTGAAACACATCCCAAGGTGGGTCAGGACAAACTGTACCCCCAAACCCTGGCATCCTTTATCTGACAACCATGCCGTTTATTAGATCTGGCGAAGCTATGAGTCAAAACTGAACACCACAGACCACGTGATTTGAACATCCCCAATCTCTTTTTCCCATTAATACTGTTTCGGATGTGAATGTACGGGGGTTGACCATGGTGTCCTGACCTACCACCATGTGGTTCTAGAAGCATCAACAACTTTCTGGTGACGAACGTGACCCAGCAAGCAAATGGATTCAGATGGAGCGATCGTTTTGACACCCAAATACCGTTGATGGTTCCCACACCTCCACACCTCAGAGACACCGAACCCGGATGTCTTCTATAGGAACGTCAGGTGTTGACTGGACTTCGTTTCACTTCCCCGTCGAAGGCGATCACCGAACGGCGCTCAGAGGGCGTCATCAAGACCTTCTATGAACAAAAGGCTGGGGCGGCGAAGGTGTGTGCTGTGAGGCTTTCTGAAGCTGATGTATAGGTTGATATGTCACGTCCTTTTTGTAGGTGATGTGCATGTAAAAAAACACCAACATGTTATATAATAGATCTTATGCATTAGCCATAAAATGGCATGCCAATTTTGGCTCAAGTTTGCGAGGCAATCTATGTGAATTTTCCTGGCGGATCTTGGATTCTGACACTCCTTTTGTTTTTGACCTGTGGATCCGCCTGGTAGCTGGAAAAGTTATTGTTTCACTCAACATCATTCAACAGCGGCTCCTGAAACATAGTCACTACATAGTCCGATGTCCACAAACTGGTTTCTCGAGCGTTTTGTTCACGAGAATCTCGTTTCCTACTCTTTCACCACGTTTGAACATGTTTGCCCGCTTTGTTGAGGACCCCAAAGTCAAAGGATCGGACTCTTCGGTTATGAAGACACTGAAAGGTTCAACCAGATGCACATGGGAGCAACCCTTGGCTGCAGTGTTCTATTTCTGGGGGGGTTAGGCCGCTAGAGAGGTAGCTATAGTAGAAGAGGTGGCTAGTAGCTTAAGTAGCTATTACCTTCGACATAGGATAGCTCGCGCTTCTTCAAGGAAACTCCCCCGCCAGGACGGCGAGGGGAGCTTCCTTGAAGAAGCGCTCGCACTAATGATTTGGTTGCTAGATTTTTTTGGAAACTCAACCATGAGCAAACATTCTGCAATGTGGCCACCCAACCCCGTTGGAGAATGTTTCGCCGCGTTGGCCAAGCGTTGGCCAAGCGTGGCGGGCAGGGGTACGGCTTCATCACATGCGAAGAGTTGCAAAAGGCACGGCGACATGGCTTGCTGTGGACAGACGAATGCATTCAAATATGTCAGATGTTGAAGACGGAACAACTGTGTGTCCAAATTGGGGCAAAGGTTTGCTGTGCCCAAAGCACAGAAAGACAATTTTTGCATGCGGTTTCTTTTTAAAATATATTATGTGACATATATGGGACGGCAAATGCCACTGTCGACCACGGGATGTCTCAGAGCTGAGAGGGAATTAGAATCTCCTGATTGCGTTTGTTGAGGATGCCAACGCAAACATGGGCCACGAGTGTTTGATTGTTTTGGCTCTGTTTGGCGCGAACACCAGAGGGATACTCAGCTGGCCGAATTGATTTGGATCACCAGTGGCTGGACGACACGGTCGAGTTTCGGCCCCCCAAGCAGGATTCAGAAGGCTACCCTCCTCAAGAGCTTCGCCTTCTCACCAGGCAAGAACTTCCAAACCCCTTCTATTAGGCCACTTACCCTTCATAGTCAATTCTCCCTCCCTTAAACTTAAACATACAGTATGTTTCTTTTGGTGAGAGCATCGGCCAGTCTTGTGGATCGCGGCCAGGTCTTTGGGAATGATGTCTTCCTGGTGGGCCAGCAATTTAATGGATTCCAAGTCGGCCAACAGGCCACATCCACATGATGCATGGAGGCTCATGGAGGTTCTAAGAACTCCACTGTGGAATTTGATGCTTTAATTGCTCAAGCTGTTATTAGAAGCTAAGGAGGTGCTGTGAATTGGTCCTGAGGATGTCGTCTGGTATTGCTCCAGTGAGAAGCGACGTGTCAGACTCGAAGACCAGACACACGCAGCTGTCCAAGCGGGAGGTGACCTTTGCCGTGGCCTTGAACAAAGACAACAAGCCACAGGAACGTGCCATTGTGTGGTGTTGCGGGGCAGCTGTCAGGGGGCTCTCCAAGGATGCAAAGCCAACGGATTGAACCTTATAGGCATTGGAACCGCTGGGTGACTTGTACAATTATACATACTAGATCCTCTTTATCTGTTTGAGGATTTCGAAGCATTTCAAAGCTGCATATACGGGGTTCCTACTTCTCTCAGAAAAGATGAAAGCACGATGAAGCTGAGTCTTCAAATCTTAATTTATTAACTGGACAACGTGTCTATCTATTTTGCGCTCACAAAAAAAAACAAGTTGAACCAGTCTCATGGGTGGGATTCCCCAACTGGCGATCGGGGCCCTATTGGGGTGCTAAACATCCCTAGACCAAAAGACGCTATCCCAACGATTGGTTGGTTGCAGGATTCACTACGTATTTTTGTCAATTGGTTTTGAAGTTTACCTTACTAATACTGATAGACATTGTTATTTATATTGCACTTGTGGAGGTTTTCATCCATTTCAGCTCTGTATCATGAGCGTGAACATTTGCATCATCAGTTGGTGTATTGTAGAGGACTCCACGGCAAACCAACCAAGTTCTCGACTTATTTGATGCTCCAATGATGTTGAGGGCCTAAGGACCTAAGCATCAGTTTAAAACAAAACCTTGGCCTCCTTCCGAACACATAAGCTACATGCTATGTCTCCATGCTATGTCTCCAGATCCAGGCACAAAAGTCATACATATGTTGAACCAGGCCCTGATCGCAACTATTGGCCCCTGACACAAACCTCTCCAGGCCTAAGAATGCCGTTGAGGATGGTGGCGGTATTTGGCTCCTTTTTTTCTCTGGTATTGACCCCTTTATATAAGGATATGTTGTTTCTGGTCATGCCATGTAGTTTGGCACTCCACTCGTTGTTATGCGAATGCCCTGGAAGTGCGAAAGTGGAGGTAGAAGGGTGCACTGTGGGTCTGTGACAAGCATTCCACTTCTGGGAGCAGACAAACTGCCTGTTGGGCCAACCCTCTGCCTAGCGAAGCTCCATCACATGGGTAGTTTCTAGTGCTTTGACAGCTCACTCCGGCTTACCCCGTACTCTCTTGGCTGCGTGCTTGCAGGCTTACGACCTGCGGCACCATACAGGAGCTCAGGTCCCATCCAACGCCTATGTTGCGAAAGGTGCCGCTAAGGCCTGGACTGGCTGGGCCCCCAAAAAGCTCAGGGATCCATGCCGTTTCGGAAGCGAGGAACCTTGACAAATGCCTTTCTTGAGCCAAGCGTCTTGTGTCAGTTTCGGGGGTCAGTTTGCAGATCATGATGGCCCTCACTAAGAAGTTTTCGGTGTTTTTGCTTTGAATGTGGCTTCCAAACAGACAGATCCCTTGCAGACAATTGATTTGGTCAGGGCACGCAGCAGGGCATGCATCAGGGCGCGAATCAAAAAGGCCAGTGGCAAAGCCAAGCTCAGCCCGCCCGCCAGAGGTGAGAAGTGGGGCATGTCCAAATACACCCTGCAGACTTTTTCATCATTTTTCCTCAACTTAGAGATTTGAAAGACAAACAAGTTGTTCATTTCTTGTGGTTGGACACGAACTTCGGACGTTCCTTCAGAGTACTCAATCTCAATCGCGCTGCAGTCCCCCAAAGACAACCCCCACAGTTCAAATCTGGCGTCTACACACATGGCGTCATGGGCTTATTATTTCACAAGGTGCTGTCCTCACTTGGGTGTGTTTCTGCAATTTGCAGGGTTTCTAAGAGGTCCAACGAAAATGATGGTCTGGTCTCCCAACAAAGGTCTTTCCAGTTCACAGGACTTCACCTCTGTTCACTGTCGGTCAGTTTTTCTCTTGCTTGGTGGATCGATTTGGTCCGAGGTCTTCGACTTGGGGCGGCCAAGAGGAGAAATGGAAGAAGGAGGAAACCTGGAACTCCCAGGAGACTTGGCCGTGAATCCTCTGCTGTTGATGTGAAGATAAAGACCGAGAAGACCGAGACTTCCGACGGTCGATCCAAGACTTTTCAGCTTGCTCACCCCTGGCTGAATTGGGGTTACCGTTTTTGTTATTGCGCGCCTCGGCAATCCCCTTCGAATGAGCAGTTTAAGTCCAGATCAGTCTTTCGACAGGGGACCGCTGGAGGTTGCCATTTCGTGATCGAGTATGTAGCATCTTGGGGCAGCTCCGCCAATGAACACATTGAAACTGAGAATAGGCCAGGCCTGTGGAACCTCTCCACATCTCTGCATGATAATCATGATCTGGTGCTTTTGTGGAGAATGGGACCCAAACACATCTCGCTGTGGTTTTAGACGTTGCCATGAGAGCGCTGGAAGCCACGGGTCCAGACAAATAGGCTGTCCCATTCTTTACATCAGGCAAATTGCGTAGGATAAAAGAAAAACGACGATAGAGGGCCTCTTTAACAAGACCCCTTAAAAAAGATTTGCCTAAATCGAGTTTGGCCCAACAATCTGAGGCCACATAATTACATACCGAGCTAACCTTTCTATAGTCATCTTATATGACGGAGAATGTACCTCAATCACATGTTTTATCGCCACTACTGACACGTGTACGTTTGGACAAAAACGGCAGGTGTCCCAAACCAAGGAAAGAAGTTTGCATCAGTTTGCAATGTTGTATGTAGAAGAACAATGCGAGGGACTTCAGCCAAAGTCAATAGAGAGTGTTTTCTTTAGTTGGCTTACGCTTAGCTCAGACTATTTTTTTCCTATCTGCATTGTAAGAGGCATGTTTCCTTGCCTTCATTTTCTTGATCAGACATGAAAGCGGAGAAGAGATGAACGGATCCTTGCTTTGGCCCAGTCAACATGGACACCAGTTCCCTATGAGGCTTGCAATCACCCGAAGTGGTCACCAGAAAGTTACCAAACCTGCACCGAGAGAATGCTGCCGCACAAGGACAAGTGGCAGAACAACCAACAAGACAAATGGGGCGGACAAGACAAGTCGTGGAACGCCCAGGCCTTTGGCGACGCCGAAGGGCACCAAGCGTCACGCGGGGGGGGTCTGAACAATCAGAAGTGCTCCTAACGTGGAATTCCTAACGCCCAACGGCAAGCATGTCCGCCACCGGGGTGAACTTGCGTACCACTTGACCAACCATTGAGCCGGCCTACAGGCTTGGGTGCTGGTGAGCTGATCAGCTTCTTTCACTGCAGAATATGGAAAAAGATAGGAAGAACACCGTGGGACCCACCATGCAATCACTTGGTGCACCGATGGGGCGGCCGGCGTGTTTTCGGTTTCTCTTCCAACCAGGCTTCATGGCCGGCGCAGTCCCAGTGCCCTTCTCAGAGCGGTTGAGATGTGATGGACTGCTGCTAGGTTTTGATTGCTGCTAGGTCAGGTCACAATGCCACCTATCAAGGTTCTGTTGCTAGCTGGTTGTGTGATCTTGAATTGAAGAGGCATCCTGGCTTTTTGTAGAGAATTGCTTAGAAGTTGGTTCGTATAGCCTAGTTTAGCTGAGTTGGTCGGGAGAGATACAGGCTTTTGTTCCTGAAGCGGGCTACTTGTGGCAACAGATCTAGTGTGATGATGCCAATGCTAACATCCACGGCCACTTGCCACTGCCACCAGAAAAGAACAGGTTGAGAGGGATTTGAACACAATGTACACCTAGAGTTTGCAAGAATAAGCCGCACAATTTTGCAAGTGGATATGGAATAGTTTTGCTCATCTCTGATGGGTGCTTTGAGGTGACTTGTTGGCAAAAGCTCTTTTGGATACTTTTGGCAAAAAGCAGATTGACCTTACAGATCACATTTGGATCTTGTGGAATTCTACTGGTTAAAAGAGGTAGATGTGGCAAGTTTAAACCGAAACACTAGGCCGGTAGAATTTCATTGGTCAGGTGCTGATGTTCTGTTTTGGGCTAGAGGCGTCCGATTTTTTGCCTAGGCAGTGGACGCAACCTGCGAAAAGGACGAGTGTTTTAGAAGTGCTTTCTTGAGGGAGTTGTGGAGGTGGCTGAGCTAAGAAGCACAACCCATGACTAACGCGGGACACATCCAAAGTCTTTCTTTGCATCGAGTGAAAAGGCGGCTTTCATGGCACAGCACACGGATTGTTTCTGCAAGGTAATTCTGTTCTTTCTCCTTCGAGTCCTTTGCCTTTCACGCCAGCTTCCACCAAGCTCTGTCCTTCTCCCTGAAATGGTCCTTTCCTTTGCCAGGAAAGATTTTGGCTTTCAGGTGGACCCTGAGAAGGTCATTGGAGATTATCAGGGCTACATCAAGAGTCACTGGCTCTGAGCGGTTTTCCACTCTGGGCGAGGGACGGCAGTTTTCAAGGTCCACTTTAACGTACCCAAACAGTTTTTGCAATTTTTTTTATTTTTTTCACAGCCCCTACGGTACCAAGAAAGAACGGCTGGTTTTCCACCCGGTGTTGCATAGATTGTGATGGCGGCCGTGTCCCATTGCTTCTTTGTGATCTTTCTAAAAGCATGTTCCTGCTCAGCTATGGCCTGTTTTGGACGGAAGGAGTCAAGTTGCCCCCAACTTGGCCAACACATGCCCAGGCCGCTTTTCTTGCGTCAGAAACAAAGGTTGGGCACCTTTGCAGGATCAGGTTTGGAATTTGGCATCAAATGTAGTTCAAAATTGGTCTGACTTTGGCTGGGAATTTGATGGTGTTGTGACCCAGGATCAGCAATTCCCGGACATGTGTGAAGTTCCATGAGTGATCCATGAATCATCTCTCAAATGTTGTCGATTGCAAAGGCAAACCACTATGACAGGCTGTGGCAAGGCCGGTGTTGGAAGTAAACCAAGTAAGCCACACAGCCATACCATCATCCCTCCAGCCGCCTGAGGCTTTAACCCCAGCAATGGTTACGGCTTCATCGTGTGTGAGGCCTTGGGCTTTTTTTCCGGCTCCAACAACAACAAAACACATTAATGCTCCGGGGGGAATACATCACTTTCCACGGCAAGTGGATGTTTGCGCAGTGTTTGGATTTGGATCCTTAGTTCCTGCAAGACTAGCTTTGAATAGCAGGGAGAGCCGAGCTCAATATAGGATCTACCGTCCAAATATGAACCTTGAGAATCTGATTGTGGGGTGATGCCATGCCCAACTGGCACGTTGTGGGGGCCCCATCGACTATTTGAACTTAACTCTACATTTGGATCTGGCTGCCAAATCAATTTCCAAAGTCTTTGAGACCCATCCCTTCATGGCCCTGGATCAAACATCCAGGTACCTGCATTTGCGCGGGATATCCAGGTGGTTGGGTTGCTGGAAAATCAGTTTTGTTACTCCGAAATCTCCAGGGTGAAATTGTGTTGGAGACATTTGAGGCCTTTTGGCTCCGAATTTCGGGCTTTCCCACGAAGCACACAACGAACCAAACGAAGCAAAACAGAACTCCTGAAGGTGCCCTGGCACCCTCCCTTCGCACGTCAGGCATTAAAGGTGGAAGGCTACACGAACGACGTCTTCCTCCATTCAGCGCGACACTTGGGTTTTCGGGACGGCCTCCGCACTGCATGACCGGCACCGCAGCACGTGCTGACAAGATGAGAGGAGGGTGATCGATGGGGCCAGATAGGGCATCAGTAGCGTCCTTGCTCCTAGTAGTAAGGCCACCCTAGTAGCGTCTTTGCTCCTAGTAGCGATGCCAGGAGCCCCTAGTAGCGCTTGCTACTATAGGGCATGATATTCTGTGGTTTTCTCTCCACGTGTAACTTGGATTAACAGCCCGGCCCTAGGAGAGTGATTTCGGCAAGGTATGGTAAGGTAGAGATATTGGACATGTTGAGTGGAATTAGCTGCAGGTCGAGATCTTGAACAAATCTTTGATGAATGTATATGTGAACTTCTGGTGAAGTGGAGCCAAACCCGACCCAAGAAAGAGCTTAGAGCTTCTCATTCTTTAAATGACCAGCAATGTCTAATGCATACACTTCTTTGGTCAAGAAGGCCACCACTGCACCGCACCGCTCGGGCCAGGCGCAGTTCACGGAGGGCGGATTCATGGCAGCTCAGCCGAAGGAACCGACAGAGACCAAACAGCTGGATGGGAAAGGAGACAGAGGTTGCAATTGAGCAAGACAGCTAGACTCAGCTAGACAACTCTTCGTGACCAAACAGATAGATGTCAACAGCCCTTCAGTTGGATTTTGATGGAGGTGGTAGCGTCCGATCGCTCCGTTCTTAGTAAGGCCAGGAGCCCCGTTCGTAGCGATGCCCTTTGCTCCGTTCGTAGCGTCCGATCGCTCCGTTGGGACTCCGCAAAGACCACCACGTCGTGTGGACTCCGAAGTGGAGGGCCCCCACTATAGACCTCATGCGTCCGCCGTTGGGCTTGGTAAGGATGGGCGGTTCAGGGAACAATTCTACAGGTTTGGTGGACCATCTGAAGTGCCATGTCTAGGGCCTATACCTCTGGGTGTGCCATTTGCTCTGAACCTTCCAGATTTCAGTGGGCTTTGTACAGCCACTAGCTTGAGCAGTGCATGGGTTCCTGATCACTTGGCCTTGCAATTGCCAGGTTGCAAAGGTCTAAATAGAGTTCGACTGGCACATCTAGAGTTTCTTCAGGTCAGACATACCATGGTCAGGAGTTTGACTTTTTGAGTACTCAAAGCCCAGCGCGGAGTCCAGCGAGCATGACCCAGTCCATACTGGAGGACCGCATTCCATCGCCTTGAGAAGCGAGCCGACAGAGAAGAAGAGAAGGTCACGGCAACTCTAAGTAAGAACCCCTCATAAAACCTTAGCTTCATTTGTTATTCTTTTTCATCTTTTTCATGTTCCTGCTCTCAGCGATGTGCTCCCAGCCCCAATCTGAATCCGCGTGCCCAGGTGGGTGCTGAGGTGGAGTTCACAGCCTTCATCAATGGCAAGAATCAGCCCCAGGTGCATGTGAAATACGTAGGTTGGATGACTTTCTTGAACATGGAACAGGAACAAACAGGATTATCCTCCAAGTTTGGAGTCATTCTCATGAGACCTTCAAGTCCTACCCCCAAAAAACCGCAACTGCTAACGCAACATCTTTAGCAAGCCTGTGCAAGCTTGTCATAATTTGATGGCAAAGAAGGGTGCTGTGAGGTCTTGGAGGGTTCCTTTCAGAATAGAAACATGACATTTCAGTCAGCTTGTCCTGCAGGCCATTGAACTGAGAGCCCCTGGCTCCGGGTCCTGGGGAAACAAGCGGCAGAGGAATGGCTGATTTTGAGGCCCTGGCAAGAGGTCTCTCGCTCGGGAGCCAAATGTGGCTACATTCATTCGAAAAAGGTAGACGTTTTGCGGCCAAAGTTTACATATACCAGAAATATCTTTGCTTGTATTGAACATTGACCCAGAAAGAGGATGAAGCCTCATTCTCAGCTGGACCATTCAATGTCACAAGGAAGGCTCGACTTCACGTGAGCACGGCTACACAAAGGCTTGCAAAAGAGAAGCACATGGCCTGCCGGGAGTACGACTTTGTAGTGGGAGCGGACCGGAGACTCCAAGATCGTCATGGAACCAATAAACCTTTTCTTTTCCAACCCATTTTTGCGTGTAGATGTTGAATGCCAAAGGAACCAACTGGAGAGTGGCGCACATAAGGTGTGCTTGTAACCCCACAAGCATCGGATGTTTCAAGAAAAAGGCCTGACAGATAGGAGTTGCATCGGGAAGGAGGCGTTTCAGCTTTTGCATACCTCCCAAACAACACGACGGAGCTAGTCACCAGAGCTTTGGACTTGAGATTTACAGGACGAACGCTTGGGCACAGTTTTCCCCTGTTCACTGCAGTCTTTCGGTGTCCGAATCTGGTGGCACTGTCCCATCGCTTGCAGGAAAAGTGGGAAGACAGCTGGTTCGCCCAACAAGCCAAACACGCAGGTGCGATAGCTTCTGGAGTTATGGCCGCTTGAGGAGCTACGTGCAGCTACGGTATCAAGAGCCAGATAGGTAGGGGACAGTCTACTTTAGTTTGAGGAAGGTGTGGGGTGTGGGTCGGTCGGCTAGAATTAGAAGGGGTATTTTGCACCAGCTATGTGGTTGTGGATAGAATACTATCCTTACTATCGAATAGGTTTCTCAGGAGGCTCTGAAGTCGGGAAGGGCTGCAAAGTTCTCACTTTAAAGGTGCCCAGTTGTTGGTGCATAGGTTTCACACACTTGCTGCCAACCTTTGAATCAAGCTCGAGAGTTTTTGCAACAACTATCTAGTAGGAGGATGTAGGAGGTACTTGCACAACATCCATGGAATAAAGAGAGTGGTTGACCCCTGTCGCAGCGAATAGGTCGCAAGACTCGAGAAGAAGCTTGGGGCCGTCATGCGCAGGCCTTCTGAGAGGGGCCAGGCATTTGATCGGAGTGTAGATTCTAGATGTGAGTCTTGACACATGTACTAAGCAGATTTGAGAGTGGGGTACAGGTACAGTAGGCCTTCATTGTTTTGAGAAACACCCAACATCATCAAAGGAGACATCAACTGCAACGAACAAGGGTTGAGCATAAAAGCTCCAGCAAGGCAGCACAACACCAAGAAGCTAACACCCCCCAGAACCATCCCTACACAAAGATGAGTAGTGAGTTCCGATTGTAGCTTTACTTACTCTTCACTCGGCTGGAATCAAGGGTCCGGGAATATACCCGATCAAAATTCCAAATTTAGCTCATCCCACATGTCTATTCAATAAGAAATACTGTTAGATATACATTTTAGTATCTTGTAGTTATATAATTTCTTATTGCGGCTTTTGCCACAGACACACACACACAATGAGGGTCCAACCTGTTTGGGTCGATGTTCAATTGACAAAGTCTGGGATTTTTCTCTCAAATCCTGAGATTTGGGTCGCTCGATTGCTTCCGCCAGCTCATGGCTCGGGCTGTACCGCAGGCAGATGACCTGCAGCCAAGGGAAGACTTCAGTGCAGAGCCCTAGCCAGCCAGACGCTGCGGGTGGAAGGGATGATTGGACGACACACATTTGGTCGTTTGGCTTGAACCAAACCGTGTGATACACACATATACACACCTTGTTGTGGAATTGTGGATGCAGACATAAATCGAAATAGATCTTGGAGTCAAGACCTGGCACTCGACTCTGAGCAACAACCTACCCCACAATGGTGAAATTACTGGAAAAAGTCCTTGGCAGATAAAGCCTGGAACCAAACATGTAGTGAGTGGTTTTAACTCTCTTACCAAATAGATCCGCAGTGGATCATTAAGGCTAACTAGGGTACTCCCACGATGCCATCAACCTGGTCCTACTGAAGGAACAACTTGGACCGGAGCCATTTCTTCCAAGCATCGTAGCAGGCGGCAATGGATAATGTACCAGTGAACACACAGCCACAGCCAGAAATGGCAAGCACACGAGATTGTAAGGGGTGATTCCAAATTGCACGTGAAGCTTCCTGTCAAAGTTGTTGTGCTGCTGCATGCACACGCACTTGGCTTATTATTATTCGAGATTTTGGATCTTCAGAGCTTGAATTGGCCTAGCGCTCAGTGAAGGAAATGGAGCCATGCGGATCCCGGTGAGGCAGGTGAGCGGCAAGGTGCTGGTGCTTGATGCTCGACTTGGGAACTACTTGTAGATGTGGGGTGTGGGGCAAGATGAGATTGTAGGATGTGCCCTGCCAGATATTTGCCCATGGCTACAAGGTGTTAGTAAGCGTCTTCAGGATCAGAAGTTATTGGGGCCAGCAATGCTGGCCTTCCAAAGGTATCGAAGGCTTGTTTGAAGGAGGGCCCTCCACACCCCTGGCAGCACCCAAGCGGGATGGACCAAAACACCGAAGATCCAACAAAGCTGGTCGATTCTGGCATACACAGAACCCTTCTAGATCATCCACCAACTAATCGCCTGCGACTCATCGGCCCATCACCTGAAGTCGTCACAAATCATTCAAGTAAAACAACCCCAAATGATCGCGAGTTATTCCTGGATATTCCTGGGAACGCTATTTAGGAGCAAGGACGCTACTAGGGGCTCCTGGCCGTACTACTAGGAACAAGAAGCTACTAGTAACAAAGGGCATCGCTATTAGGAGCGATCGGACGCTATTAGCAACACCGATTGATTTGAGTCACTTGCGCCGCTAAGGAGGCCTCGCCCGAGACGACGATCCGAGAGCTGAAGCGCCAGCTGAGGGCCTGGCAGGACACCGATGAGCTCACGAGGAAGATGACGACGGTGGAGCTGGTCCTGGGAGAGATGCTTTGCACCGCACGACGCGACGACGCGTTCTTTTTCTCTTCATGTTGCTTTTGTTGTCAGGACACGGTTTTAATGGAAGATTCCACAAAAGGACAGACGACGAATTGGGAACAGGTATTTGGTAAATACTATTCTTGGTGTGTTGGTTGGTTCTTAGTGATCATCATTTTTCACTGTTGCTGGGCATAACATCAACCTAATCAAAGACTCTTAGACTCCCTTTTTTGTGCGTTTCCATTACAGATCAACTTGGGATTTGACTGTGGCCAGATTCGACACCCTCTGCAGAGGGTCAAAGATAGAATCCTAACTGTTTCACACCGTTCTTAGATGTGCAAATGGAGAAGCTCATCAATATTACATCCTGAAGTAGCTGCATTGATTTGCAAACATGTTTTCAGGTCACACTCCAGCATGGGGAGCTATTTTTTGTTGAAGCTGGTAAATCGGCACTGGGTGATGCCAGGCTTGGAGGTGACTGGTGGATTTTGGATGGTGACAATTCAGGATCGATGAATGTTATTGGAGGAAGACTTCAGCAAGCTTCTTCAACATCAAAAGATGGAGGCCTAATGACCTAACTGGCTTTATCAATCTCCTTGGGCACTTGTGACCTCATCCCAGTAGACCCTGGGTGAGACTTCAATCTGTATCTGTCAAGTTTCCCTAAAAAGCTAGGAACCAAATCATTAGTGCGAGCGCTTGTTCAAGGAAGCACCTCAGGAGGGGGAGCTTCCTTGAAGCGTGAGCTATCCTGCGTCCCGCTTCTAGAAGCTTTAGTAGCTAGTAGCCTACTCCCTTACCTAATTAAGTAGGCAGCAGGCGCCTACTTAATTAAGTAGGGAGGCAGGGCCTCGGGCTAAAATGAATCAGAACAACTCTTGATATCGATTCTGTGGTGATCAAGCCCAGGACCAAGTTGCTGAACGACCAGACGGTGGCCGATGCCTTGGGCGATGCGCTGTCCTCGAGTCTCTACGTGGTCTTCAGCGTGCAGGAGGTCGAGTGCGCCCGGCGGTGTGGCGATCTGGAGGATTTGCGAGTGGTGAAGGTTTCTGGACCTCAGTGACTTGGATGTGATGGATATATATATATTTTTGTGTTACTTAGTAGTTACTACTTTATTTGGAAGTCATCTTAAGGAACTTTACCAGGGTAAGGAAACACGGCTTACCTGCGGATATTCTCCCAGAAGTTGCCTGAGCAAGCCGGAGCGCCATTGTTTATGTCTAGCCCCGCAAAAAAGGCAACAATATCAACAATTGCAGCGACTAGTCACGCTAGTTTTCGAGAAGGTCACTTTGCAATGGTGTGGGTATTGTTTGCGCTTTTTGTTGAGGATTGAGCCGAGAGCCTTCCAGGATTGCAACTGCTTGGCAACCTGGATGGATAAATGATGGCTGGTGATTTGGATTTTGGTGGACAAAATCATTACTTTCAGGGAAGAATCGGCAGTTTCAAAGTCTTCGCCTACTTTGCTTATGAACTGGTTCTGTTGGGAGCACCATTTTTCCAATCCTTGGATCCAAAGAAGCTTTGACCATGTTAATACATGCACGATGAGCTTTTTTCCGACCATAGCGACTGGGAAGTTAGGCGTGTTCATGAGCGGGTTTAGTCCAATGTCCAAAAGGATGCGTGGAAACTTTCCAGGTGCTGGAAGGGAGGAACAAGATGCTGGAGCTTTTTAATGGTGGCCTGCTAGAATTTTGGGCCTTGCTGTCCATTATTAGTTCCTTGTTGTCCGTGGTCCCCCATGTAGCCAAGCACAACACCCTTTGTGACAACACCCTTTATGAAGCTGACCATTGACACTATATAAATTGAAATACATTGAATGGATGCACACGGAATCGAGCCTCAAGGCAAGACAATAGGTGACTTGCTGGACAAGCGCAAGGTGTCGATACTCTCTTTATGCACACAAACATTTTTGTGCATTCCTGCAGTATTTAGGAAACATTATCCAATTTCCTAAAACAGGATCCTCTCAACCCCTGCTTTCAAACACTCCTCAGCAAGGCCCTTGATAGTCTACCCAAAAAGTTGGTATCTCTTTTGGACGCCCTCCAAAACCCCAAAGAATGCACGTTAACAGAGGAGTGACGTATCTCTGCACCCAATTCCTGAATCGCGAGGTGAGTGTCACCCTCACCTCGGTGCGCCGCATCGGTGCCCACGCCTTCGAAGACTGCAGCGCCCTGGAGCTCCTGTCGCTCCCCGAGTCCCTGGAAGTCCTGGGAGCCGAAGCCTTCCGCGGCTGCGCGCGCCTCCTGCAGGTGCTTCGACTCGGCGAGTCGACCGAGGTGATGGGAGACGGGAGACGGGAGCATTTGGGTTTACTTAAGAGATCTTAAGAGCATGTTGGATTGACAAATTAGTCATCGAGGTTGATAGAGGCATGCTTTCAAGCCAATTGACTATAGTGACTAGTGGTCTTGGATTCGTGGCTGGCTTTCAACACAGAGGACACCGCCCTCACAAAAAAAGGAGCTTTCCTTGTGCGAGAACGGACCCAGCGCAGCGTTCCTACTTTTTGAAGCTTCCGAAAGACCTTTACACCAGGATGACTCATGACACCAACTTGGCCTTCCAACTTCTTCTACCTTCCCACCGTTTCTCACGCTAAAGCTCCACCCTTCATGTGAAGCTTTTCTGCCTTGGCTGCCCCGTGAGGTTCATGTCCCGTCCCGCGTGCGTGTGATCCAGATCGGAACCTTCCAGGGCTGCAGCTCCTTACGAGAAGTCACGTTGCCGGAGCATCTGACGGATGTAGAGGCAGGAGCCTTCAAGGATTGCATCTCTTTGAGCCAGGTGGCTTGGCACGGCCAAAGAAGTTGCAGATGTGTTTGAGGAAAGGGCAGATCACAGAAAAGAATCAAAAGATTCACTCCTGTCCTTCCTACATCCATGGTTGGGGGTGAAATGCATATCCCTGCCGAGATTGGACGTACCACCAGGTCCTTCGCGTCCGATCCGTGCGTCTGCTCAGGTGAGCCTGCCGGGCTCCGTCACCCACATCGAGGAAGGTGCTTTCTGGGGCTGTAGCGCCTTGAGCTCCGTGGAGATCCCCAACTCCGTGACCTACATTGGACGCCTGGAGTTAAGCTCAGGGCGCATGTTGGAGATCGACCCAGGGCTCCTACTGAATCAGATTGGGGGAAGTAAGTGCATGACTGATCCATACCTCAAGTCTAAGAGGAATCCACTAGGGGATATTCAATTCGGCTGTTGGGTCTTTCGTTTGGACCACGAGCTTCCCAGGCATTGATGCCTTCTCTGGAATTGCTGGGGAGCTCCCTGCCTGGGCGGTTGCTCTGGCCAAGGCTGAGGATGAAATGACCAGGACTTGCAGCTGAGGGGGCGGAGTCACAACCATGAGCAACCTCTGGATGCGCTCAGTGACGTGAGTGACCTCGTAAAGTCGTAAAGATTGGATGCCAAGGCAGGTTCCTTCTCGGTCTCTCTCAGGCCGGGCTTCGCAGCTCATGGCAATCGGACATCATGTCTTGCAGAACTGCTGGGGTGCATACACAAGATGTGCATCCACAAGTAACACTTGACAACATCATGGAGCGCGCATACGACACTCAGCGCAATATCATTACCCTGGCTTGCACGACCGTTGGCTGCGAATTAGGTCTCATGCAGATAAAGCAAAGATGCCATCCATTGAAGTCTCTTCCTGTCGACCTTAGCCGCTGAGGCTTGTCGTGTGAACTGCTTTCCCTTCGCTCCAGCTTGGCCACCGGCCTACCAGACAGTTACGGTGCAAAGAAGTCGAAGGCAAAACGCGTTTTCATTGGGCTGGATGCTAATACATTGGGCTTGTCGCATGCCACATTCACATGTGGTCCTAGCCCATGCGAATGTACTTCAGAACCTTTCGCATCTGTCTACACCATCCTGGGAGACTCCATGTCGGCCAGCGATGCAACTCCTACCGACGATGCTCCACCCATGAACGTTCCAGATTCCATCCACGAGACCTTTTTTGCTGTTTGACCTCGTGCGAGAAATAAGGAGCATCGGATTTTCTTATTTTTTGATCCGATGCTGCACTGAGCGTTCGACAGAGCGAAAGAGAATAGCGTTCAACTGCAGCACCAGAGAATAATGCAGGAGCCTTTGCGGTCCGATAAGCACAGGACCGTAGCAGGACCACAGCAGCCTTGAAACATACTCAAAGCCATATAGTTATATAGATGTCCAAAGGGTCAGGGAGATGTTGCGGTAGAATCTCATTTGCTCATTGGATTCCAATTGGATGGCCTTTCCCCTTGTTGGACATTTCGAAGTAGTTCCCAGCCATGAGTTTATATACTGTAGCTATTCTTAAGCAGGGCGTTTCATTGACAGATAGTGAGAATGGGAACATGTATGAATGCTCCTGAACTCTTCAAACTGCCCGCGCCCACGGCTGTTGCCCGCCTAAGATGATCGGAGAGCAGGAGGAGGTGGGCCTTTGGTCAGCGGACATGGACTGGGCCGTAAACACCCCATCGGCTCCATGTTCATTCTCCAGCTCACCCGTCCTCACGACCATTCTTGAGTTGACCGGATTGCCCTCACCTTCGCTTGGTCCCCGTTTTGAGACATTCAAGCAGCCTGGGTACTTCTTCCCTAAGGAAGCAGTGCATCCATTGGAGGCTGATTGTTGACAGGGCCTGTTCAACTGGACCGTTCAAGAATGACATAAGCTGTTTGAAGGTTTTGAGAAGCGGATGAATTCCTCTGTCAAAGTTGCAGATAAACAATTATCTACTGTGTATCCGGGCCGTGTGCCAAACGGCAGTGGTTCCTCTTAAACATGAATAGGATCGCCTAACTGGTAAGAGTCACATGAGATTTGGGAGCATAATCTTCAAGGACTTCAAGTGACTTCAAACAGTATTACCGCAAGTGCCTCCTTCGCGCTTGCTGCACTTGTAGATAGACCCCAGTTGCAGTGTTCTGCCTGAGGCAAGGAAGATTTGATTTGCTGAGAGCCAAGAAGCCAAAACACCATCCAAACAAGGATAGTTTGTTTGTCCCCATTTGTTCATTGGGATGATGAGGGACTGAGGCACCTCTACAACATAGTGACTCACTTTGAAGACTTTGATAAAGCTTCCATGCCGGGTGCCTGTAGGCTATGAAGGGAAACAGAGGACTTGATGGACTCATAATGACTCAACTAGTTTGCAGTTCTTCCTGCAAGTCGGTTGTGCTCCCCATTATTTCTGGTCACTTCCCAGCCCTCCCAAGATTCCCTAGAGGTCAGTTCAGGCTCATTCTCTTGCTTTCGGGCGTTTCTTAGGTTTAGAAGAATGCCACGATCATAGCCAGTTGAGCCAAACCCAATTTGGAGCAACAACCATTTGAGCAATGCCTAAAGAACTGGTCCTGCCCAAAACCATAAGCAGCCTTCGATTCCTCACCAGGCGAAGCAAGGCAGCGGCCCCCGCGGCCCGAGCGCCGTGCCCCACCCGGCGCCCGAGGCACTCGGGACACGGGCGGCCGCATCGAGCGCCGCATCGGGCGCCGCATCGAGCGCAGCAGCGGCGAGGCGACGAGTGGCGCCACGATCAGTTCGACCGGCCGCGGACCACCCGCCGGGGCCCCGGGAGAGGCTACACGGTCGACGCATGTTCCACACGAGCTCGTGACGTTGTGACTGCCAAAGAGCCCCGCATCAAGAGATCTTCGAGGAGTATCGTGATAGGAAGGCTTAGGGCTGATGCAGGGGAGTTCGTGATTATCTCGTCACCGTCGGGGGTCTCTCACCTTTTCACATAGTACTCGTAGTGGTAAGAATGCAACAACATGTAATATGAAGAACAGAAGAGATACTAGTACCTAGATATTGTCAATGGTAAATGAGTGACACAAATTGTTGTTCTGTAATTTGTTGTTTGCTGGATCCGGTTCATGGGAAAGACACGCCGCCCGACTTGCTCTGCCACGTCCACCGAGGTGGGTGGGGCCATGATGATCGTGAGGCGTGGGGTGCCACCCTCAGCCTTGGTGCTGGTTTCGAGTGGTTCAAAAAGCTCGAAGCAACGCGTCATTGGCCTTCCTGGCCAAGAACAGTCATGCAGAATTTCTTCTCAACATCTCCATGAGAGTGGCACTGAGCATGAAGCAATGAAGAGATAGCTGAAGGATAGGTACTATATGCTCAATAACCCCCTTGGTGAGGTTGGTGACACACTGGTTGCGGATCACAGATTTGTGGCAGAAACCAGGGGCTCTCTCCCCAAGGATCGATGTCTCACGGACTAGTGACCGTTGCTATTAGGTTGGAGGCCATCACTAGTCGGTTGGAGGCCATGGCCCTTAGGTTGGAGGCCATGGCTCTTAGGTTGGAGGCCATGGCTCTT